TTGGGATTTAAATTCATGGCAAAGAAATGTAAGTATTAATATGTTATTGTGCTTATTTAATTAGCTGCTAAGACACTATTTGACTTATTTCAGTGTTGTGTCAATAAATCTATAGAACCTTTAGTTATATACATAAACAGATACCGGTTGCGTTGGATAATTATCTGCATCGAGTTCTTGATTATATACATCTTGATTTCTTAAAGTTTTTTTTTCGTGGCTGCCTTTTATAATATATGCCTTTTCTTAATTTTCGTGACTGCCTTTTATTAAAATATCATCTGGTTGAAATATGATTCTGTTTGAACATGCCTAGTAGTTTAATGATATATATTGTCATTTTTTTTTTATAGTTGATTATAAAAGGAGGTTAATGAACCTATTGATGTGGAAAGTTGTGAGAATCAAGAAGCTCAATCTGTTGTTGAATCCACAAATAAGAAGGCAAAAACAGAAACTTCAGATTGTTGGAAGTTTTTTACCAAGATAGGAGTAGCGGATGATGGAATTGAGAGGGCAAAATGTAATGGTTGTAATCAAGAATACAAAGTTGGTGGAAAAAATTATGGAACTTCGCATCTGAAACGCCACATTCTAAAGTGCAAGAATATTAAATTTGAAGATGTGGGTCAAATGATGATAGATATGCAAGGTAAATTGAAAAGTCAGAAAATAGATCAAATGGTATCACGTGAGATGTGTGCCCTTGCAATTATTGAGCATGATTTGCCTTTCAATTTCGTTGAGTATGAAAGAATTAGGATGTGGATAAGTTACTTAAATCCTGATGCAATTCCAATTACAAGAAATACTGCAATTCCAATTACAAGAAATACTGCTAAGAGCGATGTCTTAAAGATTTACATGAGAGAGAAGGAGAACCTTAAAGATATAATGGCTAGCATTCCAACTAGGATTTGCTTAACTTCTGATTTGTGGACAGCTTGTAATACGGAGGGTTACATATGTTTAAGAGCTCATTTCGTTGATAGGAATTGGAAGTTAAATAGCAAGATTCTTAACTTTTGTCATATGCCTCCTCCTCACACTGGTTTTGAATTATGTCAAAAAAAAATTGATTTATTGAAGGATTGGGGAATAGAGAAGAAGTTATTTTCCATTACTTTGGATAATGCATCTGCGAATGACAATATGGTGAGAAATTTGAAAAGTCAGCTTGGTTTGCAGAAATTGTTGTTATGTGATGGACAATTTTTCATGTTTGTTGTTCTGCTCACATTTTGAATCTAAGTGTTCAAGAAGGGTTGAAAGTTTCTAGTGATGCCTTGAGCAAAATTAGAGAAAGTGTCAAATATTTAAGGGGCTCGGAAAGCAGAATGAAAGCATTTAAAGAATGCATTGATCAAGTGGGAGGAATTAACACTTCAAAAGGCTTATGCCTAGATGTCCCTACTAGATGGAATTCAACTTATCTGATGCTTGAAAGTGCTCTCATATACCAACGTGTGTTTGCTATTCTTGAATTCAATGATAGAAATTATAAATATTGTCCTTCACTTGATGAATGGGATAGAGGAGAAAAAATTATGGGGTTCTTGAAGCCATCCTATCCTACTGCCAACTTATACTTTTTGCAAGTTTGGCAAATTCAATGTAGTCTCCAGAAAACATTACATGATGATGATGACATTTTAAAGAGCATGGCTGAAAGGATGATGGAAAAATTTGACAAATATTGGGAGGAATATAGTATTGTGCTTGCACTAGGAGCGCTTCTTGACCCCCGGATGAAGACTTCTGCTTTGTCTTATTGTTATTCCAAAGTTAATCCATTAACAAGTGAAGCAAAAGTAGAAGAAATAAAGAAAAATGCATACAATCTCTTTGACAAGTATGCATGCAACATCCCTCCCTCTTCAAATGCTCAAAGTCAAAGTGTTAGTGATGTTACAAGTGCATCTTCAAGTGGGTCAATATCAAAAGAGAAGAAGGGATTTTCAGAAATCATGCTCCAAGTAAGTTTATTTTATTTTGAAATGTTAATTTATTTACTTGACATTGTATTTTTTTAAGACTTATATTTTTATGTGTTTAACTTGTCAAATATTGTAATACCCCATATTTTTATTAATAAAATAGTAATAATAATATAATAATAATAATATAATAAACTATAAATTAGTAGTCATATATATATATATATATATTCTTTTATGGTGATAGATAACAAACTATAATATTAATTTTACCTTTAATAAAATTATTTTGTGCGATATGAGTGCTATTGAAAAATAATTTTGATACTTTGTAATACTCTAGATTATTATTAATAAAATAATATTAATATGTGTGTGTGTGTATATATAAGATGATAAATTATGATTAATTGATTATTAATTGATTGATGATTTATGCATTAATGTTTGATCGGTAATGTTTGATTAGTAATTTGATTAGATATAATGAGTCAGCCTTGAGTTAGCAAATAAGTTAGTTATATTCTAAGAAATTAAGAATAAAAAGAAAATAGTATATGAAGCCAATATCTGAGCCAGATACATCAGTGAGGAATAAGAAAATAATTGCACGAAACCCATATCCGAGCCCAAAACTTTAACTATAAATAGAGGTCTAACCTAACCAAACCAATTCACTCTGAATCCTCAATAATTCTCCACTACTCTTTTTCTCCTTTACACTCTCTCTCTCCTCACTTCAAATTTTTATTTTTATTATTATCTGTCTTTGGTTACCAACCGCTTCTCTTCCCTAAATTGTAGAAGTCACCAAACAAGGAGACCAGGTAATCCTAATCCCTAGAGAGTCATAGGTTATATTGATATGAATTTTGATATATGTAATCCTAATCTCTAGGTGTTCTTAGGTTAGTTTTATATGAAATTATTTATATCACGATTCTTAAATTCGAATTATTACATGTGATATTTAGGAAATTTTTATTGGAAAAATAATAGAATTTTTATTTTGAGAATAAATGGATATGATTGAATTTTCATATTTTTATGATTGAATAATTATGATAATTGATGTGATGTGATTGTATGAATGACGATGATTAGATTTGGGTTTTACTATGATAAATATTGAAGATTTGAATTGTTATATCCTTGAATAAATATGGAAGTTATGATGACCTTGAGTAATGGATATATTGAAAGAAGAAATTTTCAAATGTGATATGATGATTGAGTGTGATTGTAAATAATTAAATAGTGGGAGGATAGCTTTGGGATGGTACCTCCCAAGGTGATGAACACAACTTTTGGTCTTTATGCCTCCGATGTGAAACTGATGTGAAAAAGATTATATCCGTTCTTCCCAAAGTGGTGTCTGGCAGGGTTCCCCGGGATACTAGTAGCAACTTTGGGAAGAGGTGTGCACACTAGGAAGATGTGAATTGATTATGACCAATGTGATTTGTTTGTGACTGGCAGGGTTTCCCGGGTCACAGGGTAGACTGGCAGGGTTCCCCGGGTCTACCATGGTTCTCTTCCCACTAAGTACTATGAACTTAAACATGATTAATAATGAAATGTTATTTGATTTGATTATGATGAATGTTATTGAATTGTGAATATTACCATTTATGAAATATTATGATTAATGTTGTGCTGAATATGTTAGTTGATAATTGCCCTTTCTAAATACACTAAATGGATTAAATAAAGATTAATATAATTAATAAATATTTGATTTGAATTTTTGAGTTATATTATTTTATTGGATTATTATGAGTTATTTATTTATTTATTTTTGTATATCGGATTTGGATTACCAGCTTTGCTGACTTTTGTGTTTGTTTGACTGCAATGATCCTGCGTGGCTGCGGGGGAGCAGAGTTTCAGTGAATCAAGTTACAAGGGATCGAGCTAGCAGTGGGCAGTGAGGATAACTACTCAGAGATTTTTGCTAATCCTAAATTTTATGTATAAGACATATCTCTGATTTTATTGTAATATTTATTAATGTAATAAAGAGCCTTGCACTTGTCCCTGTACAGGTGCGGCGGTAACATTTCCCCAAATTAGTTTTAGATTAGCTTCCGCAATAGATACAAGATCTTAATAAATTATTAAATATTATTTTTATTTTATTTTTTTGAAAATTTCTCTATTATAGGAATAGTTTATTGTTGTTAAAATTGTTAGAAATTTGGGGGTGTTACAAATATGGTTAGGAATTGAAAAAGCACAATCAGCCCTTCAATGCAGCAAAGATTGGAAAATCTCAACTTGATGTTTATCTGGGAGAGGAGAATTTGGAGTTTGATGATGATACATTTGATATATTACAATGGTGGAAGGGGAAAGCTAAACGTCTTCCAAATCTATCACTAATGGCTCTTGACTTATTAAGCATTCCTATTACCACTGTTGCATCTGAATCTGCATTCAGCATTGGGTCACGGATCCTTAATAAATGCAGAAGTAGTCTCTTACCTGAATGTGTTGAAGCTTTGCTTTGTACCCGTAATTGCCAGAATGGTTTTTCCGGCACTGGTAATTTATTTAATTTGAGTTCATTTTATATTGAACCATACTTGTTTGTAAAATTAATTATTTTCTTTTTTCAATTGTTATTTATATAGATGAAGGTGCCTCTGACGTGAAGATTGATGAATGATGACGATGGTAGTTCATGTTTTGTTGGAGACTTCTTCAATGCAATGAATTAAGCAAACATTTTGAATTTGTGATTTTTTTTCCAATTTAAATGGACATTTGTGTGTATTGTAGCTAAAATTGATAATTGGTTTCATGCATTAATATTTTTATTTTATTTTTTGGGTTGGCTTGTAGAATCAGTTTTAAGCAAAATTTGTATGGTGCTTTGATTCCTAAACTTTATGTGTTTTTATGCAAATTTTTATGTGTTTTTTATGCAGATTTTTTCCTTTTTTGTTTTATTTTAGTAGTTTTTTTTATTTTGGGCGGGCCAGCCCGTATTGCCAGCCCTAACTAAAAATAGAATCAGACAAAACATGGATGCCAGAAAATTAATCCAGAATATGAGCTTACCTATTATACCAGGAGGGGTCACAGCAGAGTTGTGCGAAAGCAATCAAACTAGGATCAGATGAGAAGGTACCGACCAACTGATCAACTGTGATAGAACCAGATCCACTTTGGATGTGGGTGATTGCATCATATGCTTTTAAACTCGTCAGGCCAAACACCTAAATCAAGCAAAAAATTAACTGGCATATAATACTTGAACAAACCTGTCTCACAGCATAAATACTACGCAATTTCAACCTTGTGCATTGCCCGTGACAACAGTGACTGGCACCCAATGGGATCATCAACATATGAACAAGCTCCAACTTTTCTTTTGATATAAAGAATACCGGAATTAAATGGATTATTCTTGTCCCCAAAATTCCACCAAGGTTTATCTGTAATTAAATGCATAATTTGGGGTTACTCATTAAAAAGGTATATAATTCTAAAAATCTCGAATCAAGATACACAGAATAATAGTTTATGGTTACCTTCAGGAGCAAAGTCTATTACTTGAGGCCAGTAGCGAGGCCCACAAACACGTATTGTTTTTAACTGTAACCATCAATGCCAAACAAATTAGATCTACAATTGTTTTTCCCTAATCAAAAAATAAGACATATATTCATACGAAGACCAATTAATTGTTAATTCAAACAGAAGAATTATGCACCAAAAAATATAAACTAAACAAGATGATGTACCCCACAGATTTCATTAATAGACAAAAAGACAATCAGACTTACAATAGCTCGCTCTGGCAGAAGGCAAGGGGTGACCTCACAAAAGCTTGATTCTGCATAATGCTCAGTTTCTCTAACAGTGACTTCAAGAGGAGCATAAACTGGCAGACCTGTGTCAACATCAACTGTCTGAATCCATCGTGCCTCTGTTGCAAGGACATATAGATGGCGAAATGCCTGCAAAAAACTTTCTTCAGAAGAACTTAATGTAAAAGAGTAAACTAAAGGACATTTAAGATTTTATCATAAGGTACAGTGATTCCACCAATCTGATTAACCTGAAGGTGGCATCTGTTATCATTCGGACCAGTAGGCAAGCGTGGATACAGAGTAATGAGCAAAGCAGCAATGGAACTGTTGTTTGTTGAAAATGTTCTCATTCCACCACCAAGAAACAAGAAACCAATAGATAAGCTTACCTAAATCAGCAGGTTTATAAAACAAAAAATTAAAATGGAGACTAAAGAAAGCTAATTAACAAACTCAATTAAAAAAAGAAAGGAAAACATATACAAGAGTTAGCCTGAATATGGATCACGCAAATAAAGTTTGTTTTACCAAATGATGTGTGGGAAGTACATGAATTTAAAACTGATGCTCTGATATTACTATCATAACACAAGTTATCTGAATCTCCAAAAAGCCCTTTTGTCTTCTGATGATGCATACATGCATGCATGAGTAGATGATATTATGCATATGAATACATAAGCACAGGCTTTTCTAGTTGATTGGAAGCTAAATGAATGAAGAAAAACTTTTACTAGTCAATTCTTTTAGCTAAAGCACAATAACTAGCACACATCATAGCAATCCAATGGAGGAGTCAAAGGGACATAAATTTTGATTTCTATATCTATAAACCAATTCCTTAGCACTTATATATATATAGGGGCAGGATCCTTTGACACCGGTGTTAAATTTTAAAATTTGACACCAAATCTTATCCGTTGATTTCCGCCAATCAACGGTTATCATTTATTGGGAATTAATATTAATTAATAGGTTTGATTCCCAATAAATGATAACCGTTGATTGACGGAAATCAAAGGTTAGGATTTGGTGTCAATTTTCAAAATTTGACACTGGTTTCAAAATTTGACACTGGTCTCAAGGGATCCTATCCCATATATATATATATATATATATAGAGAGAGAGAGAGAGAGAGAGAGAACTTTTTAAATTCCTGAAGACATATGATATATAAAGATAACTCGAAGACCATTCAACCTTCAGTACAATGGTAACGAACCACCTCCCACCCCCTAAGGTTGGGCAGTTCAATCCCCAACCCCAGTGTCAGCTTCTCATATATACCAGATTTGAATTTTATATGTATATATATATATATATATATATATATATATATATATATATATATATATATATATATTAAACAAAAGACTCGCAAAACTTACTGCCATCTGAATACCATAACTTGACTGCCCATCTGCACAATTTCTGCTCCTTAGGAATCTCAACAACCGAAAGGTTTGTAAATGTCCAGAGCCAGCCATAACCTGGTATGTGGAAGTTTAATCATCCAATTTTAGCCATGATCTTAATCTTTAATTAGATGACAGTGGAAGGAAGGAGGAAGCAGGTACCACAGATAGAGAAAGAACAATAAGGTGAAGGCATGTCTCCAATGTGCCACGATCAATGTAGCGAGACAGTCCCTTTGGAAAAACCTTTCCACTTGTAGGGGAAACAGGCTTGATCTGCAAGATAAAAATAAACCATTTACAAATAACCAATTAATATGCATAAAGGAGTTAGGCAGCATAATTCTATAGACCGACCTCATTAAGAAAGTATATAGCAAATTCATAAAGTAATTCCTGCGCATTTTCATTTCTTGTGCCAGCAAATACCAGTCCTGACATGGTTAAGAAGAACAAGTTTCAAGTTAAAACAGAATCACAACCACTGAGTTGGTGCTAGCAAGGAAGTTAGAAAACATAGAAGAAACCTCTGCTAATAAAACATCATCAATGACAATGGTAGGAATGAGCATGTAAATAATTTCAGTCGTATGACCTTTGATATAAAAAGAATAGTGGTAGAAGCACATTGTTAAATTCATCATAAAATGCATGCAAAGACCAAAGAGCATTTTACCAAGAGATATACAAGCTCCAGCTACTATATTAACATAGGCCTGCATAAATGCCTCAGCATCCAAATCGTCAATATCATAGCCATCACCTCCAAGGCGTTCTACATGAAATCTTACAATTTCAGGAATTTGAGACCAAACCCAATCTTTTGAGGGATGAACCCTACAAAAGAACATGCAGACATTGTTCAAAAGAGTGACAAACAGATCCAAGTAAATTGCTACGATAACTTAAAGAAACCAGCACAAACCTGCTCCACATTATTAAATTCCGAGCAATGACTCGAAGCATTATAAAGTCAGGCCTCACATATTGCAAATCAAAACATGTATTGGGAATTGAGAGCCTAGACACAATAGCCTCAGATTCAGTCTGTCAAAAGAATACAGTCCAAGGTCATAAAGATTCCATACAAAGTTAGGCATGCCATATTCATGACTGACCTCAGGGTAGTATACTTATATATATCAATTACAAGGAAGCAACAAATATGTAGGCAATGATAATAATTGTTAGAATATCTAGAATATTTAGATATCATACAATATTAAGATTATATCTTAATATAGTTTAGAGTATCCTAGAGAATCTCTTATAAATATTATCCATACTTATATTTTATAATTATGTTTCCGCATTTCAGGAGTCTCTTATTGAATATAAATGGGGATTAGTGCTTTATCTTTTGTAATCACATTAATCACCGCATAAGTCATAACACATAATGTCCAGTCTCTAATATTCTCTATTAATTACCGCATAACACACAATAGTGGCACTGAGGTTTGAAGTTTGAACCTATAACGCAAACTACTCAAATCCCTCATCACTAGACCAATCCTAGTGGCTTAAACCCCTATAATTTCAAGTTTTCAACAATACTGAACCTGTTGCTCACAATCTCTAAAGGTAGAAAACTACTTATAATTGCAGTAGATAAACAGACCTCTTGTCAACATATTTATCATATATTATCAAGTGAGTTGAGTTCCATGAAAAAACCTTCAAAAACATCAAAGCGAGGGCAATGGTGGCTCCAGGTGCAGTAACATCAATATTGACTGTTATCCCATCCATCATCTACAAGAAATAGATGTAAAAGTGATTAAATTATTTATGCAGAAGAGAATCCCAGTCATAATATGTCTCATACACAATTTTATTTTACTTTTGTTTCATTATGGAGGAAAAAGTAAGAAAGAAATTATGAATTGAATTCACTGAACCTGTGCAGAACCACGATTTTCATCCATTGACATTGTCGAAAAATGAGATCTCTCCTGATGCAGAAGTACTTGAGCGTTATATAAAAACAGCATTCAAAACTAGACTTATTAACTCGTAAAAGCATAAAGTGATCTGAGGTTCTCAACACAGGAGAAGAAAAGGAGACAGGAGAATTTGGGAATTCCATAACATACATTATGCACTTTGCCACCAATGTAGAGAAACAGACGATCCACAAATGTGTCGATGAAACCAAGTGTATCTTCTCCCCGTCCTTCAGGCAACCTATCTTAATTAGATAAAGAACCAGTAAACCATAATCCAAAACCTGCTTTTTATTTAAGCATTCATACCCAGTGCAACAAGACCCAGTGCGAATCCTGCAGAAACAGCATGACCCTCTCGCTCATGAACATTATCACCTCCACATCTGCGCCCGATTTCACCCTGAAAAAATTACATGTAGATGTCGTAGAAAACAAATTAAAAGATAGTAAATAGAAAAAACATAGGTGACAATTTAAAGTAGATACTGCAACTCTGCCTAATTCAACCTGAGAAGACATAAGTACTACAATTCAAAATGAAAAGGAATCCCAAAAGAAATTGAAGCACTGCTATTTAGGTGGATTTATCAAAATATGAAGAACCAGAGGAGTTGTACATAGCACACAATTAACAGCATGCAAGCAAACTACATCTCTGATAATGAATTACATATATATCAAAATTATATTTAATAGAAAGGGAAAGAGGCAACAACACAAGAATGTAAATCATACCCGTTGGCTAAATGATCCAAGCAAGCAATACAATTCAGCATAATAAATAGTAATGGCTCAAACACTAGCTATTCATGTTCACTTTACCTTGATGACATGCATGCATTGGACATATCCAGCAAATGTTTAAGCACTGAATAAACAGAAGAGAAAGACGAAAAATATATTTACCAATAAAACCTGCAGTGTTTGTGGGTGAGCTGAACCTTCATATAGAATCCCCACAGCCATTAGAGCTGCCGACTGAAAAAATATATATATAAAAAAAATTACAATTTGAAAAATAAACATGGGGTGGTGATAGTAATATTATGGTGCACAAATTCAATGTTATTAACAGAATAATCAATTTATTCATCAAATAAAATGTGGTACATTGAAGCAACAAACTTCAGGCATTACAGTTTCTCTTCTGTTGTTAGAAAGCACCAGCTTACTCCCCTCCACCCAACCACCAGACTCCCCCTCCCCCCCACCCCCACCCAGGGGTAGAGGTGGTAAAAAAGGCCAATCTCTAGTGAACATATAGAGTATGAATATAAAAAATTACCTGAAGCAGGGTTGGAACCTCTAAATCTGGATAGGAAAATGGATGTCGAAAAGGAATATGAACAAAAAGACACTGCCACAGGGTAATTTGATCAGTTCTTCTTCAAAAATGTTTTTGCAATTTAACATGCTATAAGGAACATATAAAGCAGAGTAGAAGAGTATAGTGGTTAGTAGAGAAGTTGTGCAATAAAAAGATTTCAACTTCATACACTAAAAAGCACAATCCGTAATAAATTTCTAGGCTCGTCCACATACACACATGTAAAACACAAAAGTATTTATGTGAAAGTGTTCTTTTCTTTTTATGGATAACAAAAAAACTCATCAAGACAGAGAGGATGATTACAAAAAGATAGGAGTCTGTTCTTTTCTTGCAATATATAGTGAGTGAGAGAAGGAAGGAAGGAGAGCAGTGAATTTAATCAGAAACATTTTCCTAGAAACAGGCCATCTAATTTTAAGTCCAATTTACATCCCTCAATCCTGAAAGCTATGAAGCACCGACACTTCAAAAACTCTGACGTGTCGTGTCCGACACTCTCCGATACTCCAACACGCGTTGTAGAAACTCAAAAAATAGTTCAAAGGTTGCGTTGCGTTGCATTTTTAGTTCTAACTATTAGATTCGTTGGATTACGATTACCATTTTATTGAGTTTAATATAAATATTTAGGATATCTTATGTTTCTTTGCAAAATTGATGGGTATTATAAGTTTAACTTCATTTTTTTTTAATTATTGAATATTAAATATAATATACACTACATAAATTAAAAATATTATTTAATATCAAAACGTGTCGAAATCTAACATTTTTTAGAATTAACGTGTCGAAGTGTCGTGTCGTGTCACGTGTCAGTATCGGTGCTACATAGCCTGAAAGTCAATCCTACTAACAGGACCATCTCCCTAAATTCAATTTATTTTAAGCAAAAATTACCTGATTCAATAAATTAGTTCTAACTTATAAGCACAATATACACTTTAGAAGGCTTAATATTATATTTTACCACATTCCAATTAAACTATTACCATTTCCTTATGGAAATCAATTGAACTAGGCACATCCAGATTTAACAGAGTCATGGAAACTTTGATAAGAATGAGTGCTTTCTATTAGACTCCAGTTTGAGATGCCTAAGATTCAGTTCCATTAGATTAAATTTGCGTTATTTCCATTAAAAAGGTAAGTTCTTTTCATGTACAATAAAAAGCAATGCAATACCTAAGATAACTTAGAGCTCAAAGATATGAAAATAATTTTCTAAAGCACTCCTCCAGCTATGATCTGCTGAAGGCTGAGATCAGCCAGTGCCACAATTACATCAGGAAAAATTGTATTTGATACCTTTGATATTGCTGGTTGCATAGTACCTCTGTAAGAAGCTGCGAGGCCAAGCATTACTCCTACCGTAGTACTTTCATGCTCCTACAAATATGTAGTGACAATAATTTGATGTCATGTATAAAGGAAAAACCGAAAGATAACAACATAAAAATAAAAAGTACGAATAGATGGAAGATTTATCCCCAGTTCATTGATATTTAATGCATGTAGCATCAACCATGTTTGTGGTTACCACAAGGACCTTAAAATGAAACAGTTCATTGATTCCACCACTTGAGAATTCAAATTCTGACTTAAGTTTCAATTCATTGAACTACATTCTGACTTCAATCACTCTGACAAAAATATTTCAGTTGAGGAAGAACTCTGAGAATAGTTAACTCCACAACTGGTTTATTTTCCTTGCGCCACTATAATTGTTTTGTTGCACTTTACCCCCTAAAATTTTGTAATTGGTTTAGTTACTCTCTTGCAGAGAGAAGTTTCTGTTACAACCAACATCCTCCTAATTTTCATAGCTTTCAGCCTATAAATAGATGGATCCAAATAGCAAAGCAACTGCAAAAAAGGCCAATTAATTTTTCTAGTACCACAAAAACAAAAGAATGAACTTTAGCGCAGCAGCAACAAATAATATATGGTGTTTAAGATAACGGTTAAGAACCAACTCTCCTAAAAGTTTAAGATGTTGGGTGGAGGCACATGGTTTTTATTATACCTCTAACATATCTATATACATTTAATACATCTCCTCACGTAAAAGCCCTTTTTTATACTAGATTTGAAACATAGATAATGCACAGACCTATCTATTTTATGAAAAAAATTCTTTTTTTATTAGAAGAATGGGACTGCGAGGATCGAATTCTAGACAAAAGATTATGATATTGGGTGAAAGCACATGAACGGTTTTAAAAATTATATCTCTAAGATTTTAATATTATATCTAATAATAATGTTTCAATTATTTCTCCAATGCGCACAATAAATCATCACCACTAGAATAAAATAAAGTTTTAAAGATTGACAAAACAAAGACAATGGAGCACTAGAGAATTAAACCTGAGAAAAATACTGGTAAATGTCAGTAATACTTAATACACACAGATATCCATGCAATCCTAGAGCAAGGAGAAGCCCCGCATGAACAGAATTTGGCTCCTCAGGCTTGTTATATACAATCCATGTTCTTGACATTCTTCCCTGCAAATTGTTATATGCACTTTTTAGAAATAAGCATCCATGATATAACATTATGCAAGCTACAATAACGAATGCTCAAACCCAAAGCTCTGTATCAGTAACAAAGCTGTTGAGACAGAAATATTGCTTGAAAACAGTAAGATGTCTGTTAAATTTTTGTTATGTGTCTCTGATTCTGACACTAATTCCATTAAATTTTACAGAACTAGTAGGAATCTGTCATTTAGAATTTTTCGTATTTTCTGTGAAGGTGAATGTCGGATTTATCCAGAGAGTTTAGAGCACTTTAGCATATATCATTTCAGAAGTTTGGGGAGGATTAAAGAAGGCAAGGGAGCATTGTACGCAGTTTTTCCGTACTTGCAGACACAGAAATGGCAGAGTTTTCAAAAGTAAGATGTGGGGAAGACAGAATTAAGCCATTGTGAACTAAAATTTGCCGCGTTAATTTCTGCCCACCCCCCTCCCCCCCAAAAAAAAAATTAAAATTCCCATCTTAATGTAGATAGGAAAAAAATGCAATAACCATCTGGCAACCGGAACCAAAGATGTAAACACAGAAAAAACTAAAAATAGGGATTATCCTGACAACAATGACTGACAATTTGGAGCTTTGCTGAAGTTGAAATAAATGGACTTTGTACCTAAGTTAACTATATTCTCACCATTGATAAAATAGTTCTGAATTTAACGAATTAGTAGATCAACAAAGATGCTAAAGGGTTCATGTTTCCTTCTGTAACATTTCATAAAAGTTGGAATATTTATGTCTGAAAATAAAATTGCAAGATCTAAATGTTTAATTCAAAAACGCATAAATGACTCATTATTTAAAAGAGGGTCAAAACAAAGGAATGGAAATAAGTACCTATTCAATAAATTTGACAGAAGCCCGACACAACAAAGCTTCAGGACCAAATCACAGTGAGAAAACATTATAATTTCCAGATACATTAACATGCATCAAGCAATCATTAAACACTGCAATGTTGTACTTGCATTTGTTAAAGCAACCAACTAAAGCCATACACTTGCATAAATAGAAAACACCAACTGACTAATTCAAGCATACAATTGAGTCCTCAAGTGGAATTGATGCCACTTTTAAATTTAATCACATTTGAGTTTAATTAACTTCTCTGACTCTTGTTATATAGTTATGATAAGTGGTTGAGTCAGTTAACAAATGCTTAATTTGAAATGATGAGAAGTTAACTAAAATAATAAGTGGTTATTTTAGAGTAATTAGTGAAGCAAAAATTAGTTAGTACAGTTAGATCGACAAGAGCTATCAAAACCATTTTTAAGTACTAATTGTATTACTGAAGTGACTAAATAACATAATATCCTAGCAGAAGCAGAATTAAAATTTTCAGAACTATATAACCATAAGAATCAAAGTTAAACCTGAAGGGGGGCTAATCTAAGTCCAGCGGCAACAGCATTATGAAACTCAGGCCAAGATCTGAGTTCTTGTATGTTCCTGATGTTGGGATCGAGATTAACCTAAGAGTAAACAAAATAATTCAAGTCAAGGTAAATACAAAAAACTACTAAATAGTTTTTCAAGCCAAAACAGTTTAGTCAAGAACATGATAACAACTTACAGTTGCATTCTGTTGGGCTGGCAACCGACCTGCTAATACAAGCTTTGGAACAGTAACGGCCTGAAAGTTTTGTAAAGATCCTATAAGAAAGAGTATATTTCCAGAAATAATTCCAAATTCTCACTACGAAGGCAAAATAGGATCAAAAAGTTAAATGTAAGAGCACCTCGGTTAATAGTGTATATATGGTTGCGAGGGTAAATGCCCCACGTCCAAGAGGAAGTGAAGTGGTCCTTTGTGCAAGGTGCCACAATTGAGCCTTCATAAAGAGTAAAAGTAAAGAGTCAAAGGCAAAGATTCTTTAGGAAAAAAAAAAGGTATTTCCAGGCAGCAAGAGGAATATCAGAGCATTGAAATCATACAGAGTAGTAAACAGAAATAAGAATAAAATATGCCCTTTTTCATCAGGAAAAGAAATTATTAGGAAAGAAAAGGTTTACTAAATCACAGAGTAGCACACAGAATTAAGAATAAACTCTGCCCATTTTTATCAGGAAAAGAAATTGTTAAGAACTAAAAGGTTTACAAACATGAACTAATTAAAACTTAGCCCACAATTGGGAGAAATTACTAAGCTATCTTCACTGTATGAGCACAACAAGACCATGAGTCAAGTAGAATATGCCGATTACAAATTCTTGACGTTGATTTAGTTTCAGTATTGATTATAAATGATTAAAAAAGTAACAATTACAATAATCAAGTCTAACTTTTTATAATAGAAGAATTCAAAAGGAGGGAGAAAAAGTACAAGGTAAAATATAACCATATTTTACTTTAGTCATATATGCCATAATAATAGATGAATCACAGCATGTTTACCTTATAAAGCAAACCCCTCGTGTTAGTATGACTAAGAGTACATTAATTTTTTTTGCCTTAGGAATTAAATCTAATACCTGAGCCTGATAAAAAGCCCTATAAAAAACAATAACTTAACCTAAATATGATGATAATAACAAAACAAAATATCAGAACCCAGAAGAAATACAACTTTATGATAACAAAGATCAGGAAGAAAGAGAGGAAACAAACAACCATATAATGTGAACTAGGAAAAGTATGAATGCCCAATTACATTTTGTGCTAAAAATATCAATAAGGCCTGAAAAAGTATGAATTTCTTTCCCATAGAAGTGCATAATTAATATCTTATAGCCGGGTGATAATCTTTACATACATTGGGTGTGTTATACCCAGCGGCTGAGGTTTCCCCTAAGTTAATATGACAGTACAGAACTGCAGAAATTAATTAGATGAAATAGTAATTCTGAATATTTTCTCCTATATTGATTGAGACCCAAAGGGTTCCTTATATACAGAATACAACAGGTAATTCAAGGGTTACAGAAATAAAGAGTAAACAAGAGGAATAAAGAAAACACAGTAAACGAAGAGACTTCACACAAATCAAAGAGACTAACAGCTAGTACTAGTAGCTAATAAAAAACCCAATAATATTCTAGAATATTCTACATAATTTGTATGCCACATGTCATAATCTGATGGTTGGGATCCGGATCATTATACTGGGTGTATATAAAATTTTCACCAAAGAAGGAAGGCGGCAGGATCAGACTTGCTAAAAATATTATAATCAAAAATATCAGTTTCTTGAATAATCAAATTATAAACAAAATTGTTTACCAAAAAAAAAATATATATATATATATAAACAAAATTTTAGTCTACAAAAAATAGCTCACAGTCAAATACCATGGAAAGGCATACCTGCTGGAGGTCCTGATCAGAAGCACTATGGTTAGCAGATGTTTGAATTGCCACAGGTCTTGAAGAGCACAAAAGGCGTCTAACCTAGTAAAAGAAGAGAGAGCCATCATTCAAAAAAGGAAGATCTAAGGTAGTAAGTAACTTTTACACCAGCACAACACACGTCAATTGACAGTGGACATGAAGTAAAATGTCTGTTCAAGATATCAGCAATAATAAAAAACCATCTACTGGTAGATGGTAGAACATGATCATTAGCATACATAAAAGTAGATATAAGTAATCAATGGCAACTCATAACCATACATTTAGGCATATTAACATTACAGGTTCCAGAATTGTCCGTGAAGTAAGAAAAGTCAGTATAAAGATTTCAAACATTTAAGACTATAAAGCAGCTGATGTCACATGCATAACAAGCACAAGAAGGCTTAACATTTACACGGTACCATGCAGCACTCTTTTTTATTGTGGAAGACAGGTGAAAAATAACTTTTAAGAAAAAAGTGTCTGGACTCACTAGTGATGATGACAATAAAGCAGCAGCACCTCATTGCTTAAAATGATTGCTAATAAACTAATGTGCGAAACTGTTCTGTTTTCTATAATCTATATAAACAAGCCACAAATATATATCAAGTTAAAAATAATCAAATCAGTCTTATTCCAAAATTCTTATGTTGTAAAGAACAAATTCAATCCAAAAGCTTAAGCTTATGAGTGAGGCTACATTAATGGTTTTATATATCTCAACACGCTCCCTCACACGAGAGCCCACTGGGCTTAAAGGGTGGACAATACACAGGCCCACCTACTTGTGCGAAGAAAGAAATTCCACTTGAAAGAAAGTGGGGGGCGGTGAGGATCGAACCCATGTAAAGAACCTTGAGATACATCACCCCAAAAGCTAGCTCAAAGGGTGGGAGTGCCCAAAGCCTTATAAACTCCACATTAGTTGCTCATACAACCAATGTGGGACTATATATCTCAACATATGTCAAATGCCATAACTGACCTCATTCAATCTCAGATCACGACCATATCGCAACTGGGTGCTAGAGTTGAAAATATGCTCCATACCATCAGTCATAGACCCATCAACTGAATCTGTATCCTCAAACTTTGTTCCTTCCAATCCAATTGCGTCAGAAATAGTAGAAGATATTGTCACCGGATGCAGATTTAGCATATAAGGTGTGGACATAGAGATTACATTCACATTAGTTGGTGTTTTAATTTCTCTATGCTTGCATTCACGCACCAAAGTTGACATTGCCAAATCTTGTCGACCAAGAAGGACATAAGCAGATGCTGGCCAGTCATTGGGAGGAGAATCTCGAGATTTATCTAATGCCTAGAAGGCATAACAGCAATCAGGTGTAAAAAGTTCAGGAAATATATGTTAAAACAAAAACCATGTCAGAGCTAACACTCAAAAAACAGTTGTACTATAGTAGCAATGCAAATACACATGGACCATAGGAAGTAAACTAGATATGTGAAAGAACCAAAGAAACATAAGAAAAACACTAGGCAATGCCTGATAAATGAGAGTGTCATCATGATGAACATTAGAATTATCAATTATGTAAGCAGAAGTAAGATAATAGGTAATTCCAAATGTAGGACAAAATCTAGCAGCTGCCAACATATAGCACTCCATGAACAAAAATGTAAAATCAATTAAATTAATTTACATAAAAAGTTCTCAGAGCTTCAACACCACCAAAGTCAAACTTACATGACGAAGTGGAAGAGATACACCAGAAGGAAGTGAATCCAGCTGTTGAAGTCCAAACCTTTCACCAACCATTGCTAAAACAGTAAGCTCCTCCTTTGAAGAATGTGATCCCGTGGCAATGTTACAGTAAACACCAGAAGAAAGCTTCTTTCCCAGCAATTTAGCACCAGATAATATACTATAAAAGCAAACAATTTTCCGTGCCAAGCTAACCACAGAACTTCCATCTTTGCGGACTAAAGATGGAAGATCACTCATATTAGCATAACTACATCCATGTTGCAAACTGTCCTCAAGCCATCTGAATAAACTTGGAGAAATTTTAAGGGAAATGGCAGTTCCAGACATCCGAAATTTTTTACAGAGGCCAGGGAAATCACGAATATAATGGTCCATGTAGTTGTCCTCACCCAGAAATTCAGCAATGTTGCACAAGAGAGTTGCTAGAAGCTCTAAGTCCCTATAGGCAACAACTATCATATAGAAACACAACAAAATATATTTAAACAAAAAAACTGAAAGTGGAAAAGTAATTACTAAGGAAAATACAGCCCAAAGAACACAAAGAAGTGCATAAAGCAGATAGTAGAAATAATAAGTGAATAACCGCAATCTAATCAATCTTTTAGCTGTCAATACTCAGCAGTCAGCACACAAAGCAATAGTAAGGTAACAGAAGCAGTTGCCCTTCTCCGGATTTACCCGGGGAGGGTGATGCTTGTGAGTCCAAGTTGACACTTTCCATGTATGGATCATACCTTTGGAATCCTGGGACAGTAGCCCCAGTTACTGATGAAGTTATTCCTGGGTAGAGAAAGAAAGTGTTGACAGCAAGTAATTCTCAATGTCATTCTTGCACAGCTAGAATCTAAATATTTTGCATGATATACTGAAGTAGAAAATGACAAACAAAAGTCCCACTCTCCCAGCAAAAACTTCAGCACCATATAGCAGGTCTAAGACAAGACCACAAACTGATGCATGATCTTTACTTCTAGCAGTTTCAACTTTTAATGGCAATGGGCAAATCATGAAGACTGATGAGAGAGCAAAGTCATAGACTGTAGAGCTATATATGCTATGAGGCAGGCTATGGTCTGGATTTTCTTAATAAATTTAATTTTTTTTTTAAATCTTGAACTTAGCCCCCTCATTAATGGTGTTCTTTCTCTTTGGCTACCTCAACTAAAATCGGGTACCTCTACCCCTGGACATACAGCTTAACAATAAATCAGTGGTACAGAAGGAGAAAAAAGGCTACAAACAGAAGATAGAAGCCACTTATGGTGTCAAATAAACCAGAAAAAAAAGTATTAGATGGAGATTGTTTTAGACATTTTGGTAAACCAAACCATGCCTCAAGAATGTTGTTTCAGCCAAAGACCTGATGAAAAGGCATAACTTTGCATATCTTAGGCAGACATCAGATCAGGTTACGATGACTAATGTATGGAATGGGATTGTATTTTTGGCCTCTTTTTGGTGCTCTGCTGATGGTCTTCATTAAGGGATTCTCCCTTTCTAATTGGCAAACAACCTTGTCACATTTATTAGTCTCTTTGGCTCCATTTTCTTTTTCAAATTGTACACCATCGTTTATGGACCTCAGAATTTGCGGCATTTTGTAGGCTACTCCACACATCTCCTTATCAGCATCCAAATTTTCTAAAAGCCTGATGTACTAGTCTCAAGGTTCAGTTAACAAATCTATTAAACCACAAATGGATCAAACCAAGGTTTTCAACGAACTACTTCACCATATCTTTTAAGAACCATCTACATACATCTTCCACCTACTCAGTCTAGAAAAGAAATCAATATTAAGCTTAAAAATGTATATTCATATAAAGGAACAAAAAATGTAATGCATGGCTAGTTCAAACTATCCTTCCGTTTGACAATTCCAACCCATCAAGCAAAAAAATGTCAATACATCATCATGAAATAAAATTAAATCAAAAGGTGGCTACTTACCTTAAAACTTAACCGACATGCTAATCAAATCAAGCTGATATTAAAAATACTGAACTAATAACTAAAAATATAATCTATATTACTGGCTAGATTCACCAAACCCAATCAACTAGCTGCTTCCTAAACAAACAAGGAAAACATTACCGGACAAATTGCATGATAGGATAGAAACAAGAGATGGCCAAAAAGAGCTTTAGTGAGGCTGCTAGAGACTAAAATGAAAAGGAAACCTAAAATATTTAAAAATAAGAGATCAAAGACTATGTAAGACATACCTTTTGCGCAGACTATCCATTTTCAGGCTCTCGTAGAGTGCATGAAGAGATTCCAGACTTTCTATTAATAGTTCTGTATAAAATGGCTTTTCAGAACATTCTGTACCATCCATAAAAGACCTAGGGAAACTTGATTCCCGCTGATCAAGTGGCACTGCACAAGATATTCCGAACATTGAATTTACTTTGCAGAAGTTATTATGAAATTTGCTGCTGGTAAGGAAGTTCCAAGCCGAATGTGGCACTGAACCAAAACACTTTTGAGATATAATGTTGTTTCTGCAGATTTTCATAATTACAGAACAAAAAGAGCCCCATTCTGAAACAACACTAGAATCAGCTTCTGACAAATGAGCAGGGTCATCATGTTTCCAGAGAAGACCAAGAAAATGTCTGTAGAAACTAGAACCAAGCCCCTCAGCAAGTGCTGTGATGCAATCTTTAGCTAATAATGATGAAGGACTTTGCGGTAATGTACATCTAAACATCTGTACATATAATGCAGGAATATCAGAAGTCACAGTTACATAGAAACAGGGAGCATTTGGTTTCCATTTAGTCAGCATACCTGCTTATTATTTACTATCACATTGACACGCCCCTCAACAGCATCAGCCAAGCCAGTTATCTTTAAGTCATTGGAATGAGATGTTTCTGGAAGCTCCAAATCATGCAAAACATGGTCTTTATTTAAGCAAGACGGTAGCACATATCTACACAGACATTGCTTCCCAGACTACAATATAAGCAAGACATATTACAAGAAGATATATCAAGCTTTAGCAATCTTGAAGCCACTTGATAGAATAAAGCTTACATAGAGAAGCAGAACATTTTCTGGAGCCAAAACCATTATGTCTGAATATGGAAGTAGTCCAACTTTGACCCTGGAAAAAAAGAAAATTATGTCCAACATTACAAAAGCAATGTAAAAACAGATGGAAAATCTTCTGTTTACCTTGGGCAAGTTGCTGCCACAGGTGAAGCTGCAACAGCAGCTGTGACCCAGCTCATATCAGGTTTAACCTCAAATACAATCTCATTATTTATTTCAACACTCTGAAGCCTAACAGACAACAACTTTCTTTGTTCTGGGTGAAGAAAGCAGACAACAGGAGCTGCATCATCGTCAGTGGCCATAAAGACCTAGTAATCATTTGAAAGGTAAATCAAAAGCAAAAAAGTAATAAAACTAAATGCAGAAACAGTAAACAATAAAGCATGCAATGAGGAAAGAACATCCAGCGATTTCATTAAGGACACAGGATTAAATTTGAGGAAAAAAACGGCACTGCCTTTACATTTTACAAAGAGGCTGCTTAAAAAAAGCAAGTAACAAGAGATAATAAATTTGAGCTTATAACAGAATGTTGAAGGAGCTTACCAAAAAACTGCAAAATTTTAGCATAGTGGCAAAAATTCAAGAAAGAAAAGTGAGATGGTGCCGTGGGCCAAGTGAGAAGGAATAAAAAGATGAAAGTGGACTATAATAATGTGTAGATTAAATAAAAGGCAGGGAACACCACCACATTAAGATGGAAAGAAATCAAATAAAATATTCAAAAATATCTGCAATAATTATTTAACATGTACTACATGCGTAAAACTAATAAAATTCTAAATTAACAATTTTAATTATGTTCCTCATCTCCTATGTTAAAAATACAAATAAAACAGCTTCACAGCCAGATAATACTATGCAAAGCATCCACATTTAAGATTAGTAATTACTTAAAGAACAAAGAAAACATGTATGTAATTAACTGATGAATTAAAAAATAATAATTTGCCTAATTAAAGACATATGAGACCAACATAGCCAGATGACTGTGTGGAAGCCTATACTACCTTACAAGCAGCTGTCTGAGCACCTTTTCCCTGCCATATTCTACGAAAAGACAAATGTTTTGGCAATACACCCATGGGGTCTACATTTAATAAACCAGAGGCTGCCCCATCGAAGTTGGAATTGATGATTTCTGCTACCCACAAAGAGTGCTGCATCTTTCCTGAATTCAAAGTAACACAATCACATAAATTACCAAGACAAGAAGCCATTCAAAAGGAGACCAGGAACTGATTGCAAGAATTTTAATGGAAAAACCTTTATTGTAGGATGCCATAAGCGGGACCTGATCACTTGTCCAAATTGTCTTTTCATCATATTCCTTCATCATGTTCAATTTCCCTCTTTCTTCAATAAAAATTGGCTGCAGTTACAGTTAAACAAACAATTAAGTAATCAAACTAAAACAAGTAATGTCAGAACAAGAATCTTTTGCAGTAAAAATGTCACAGAACTTCACAAGTTATAAACACCAGGAAGAACAAAATATCAGCAACAATCAATAGACTGTTATAACATACTCGTTGTTCGTCCAGTGGATCCATCAGGATCAGATGAGATGATAATAAAGCTCCCTCCCCCTTTTGGATATGATTAGATGCACTAAGCAACATATCACGTGTACTAAGCAAAGGGCTTGTAGAAGAAAAAGGAACACGTGATGGTACATTTGCTTCAACATCCTGCTGGAGTAACAGACCAAATGGAAAAGGCCATATAGATGCAATTGTACGAGGAAGAGGAACTGAACCTACTTCACCTATTAAACAGAAGGAAATGTTAGTTGCTATAGCACCAAAACAAGGACAAATTCAAACACATGAAAATACTGATAATCTGGCATATCCACATATAAGGGAGATTTCAAATTAGGAGGATAATGATAACTCCGTGTGTGTGTGTGTGTGTATGAAGTTGAAATTGAAAAGGCGTATATGAAATCAAAGATGGAAAAGGAGCATGAAACATATAGTTAATTCAATTCTCAGCTAAAGCAGCAAATGAAATGAAAGAGACAAAGCAGATGTGATAAAGTGATGAAAGGATACTATTTCACCCATAAAACAACTGGACCCCAGTTCCTTCTGTTAAAGTAATTCACACTTGTGTCTCTAGCAGTCAGTCAGTTGAACTGTTAATTCCTAACCGTCAGGCAGTTAGATGGGTCATAATCTGTTAGGGAAGTCAGTTCCTAGTTCCAACAATAAATTAACAGAACCTAACAGGTTCACACACTTGTTTACTTTAAAAGTTTTCGGATAATAAAGTTCAATCAATTCTCTCTATCACTTTCTGTCAGGTTCTTGATTTTTATAACCTTCATGCCTAAAAGCAAAACACAAATAAAAACACTAAAAGAAGAATATAACTCTCAGATCTTACATAGTTGATATGGAATAATTAAAACATATTTAAGATATTTTAAAGCTAATCATTTCATTCAATGTTATTGAATCGCAATATAAATCATGAATCGTTAGACTCGTATTGAATGTAAAATTTAAAAACATGATGAAAAATAGCTTAAATAAAAAAGAAAAGAAAAATAGAAGGGCAAATCTCATGTTCCCCGACTTTGCGAGGATGGAGTGAGTTGATTGTATACAATCTTATCTTTGCATTTGTCCAAAGAGGTTATTTCCCAAACATGAACCCATGACTTGGCAGTCACAGAGGAGTAACCATACCGCTCCTCCAAGGTTCACCTCTTATAAACCACAACTCCTCATTAAAACCCGACTAGAGAAGGTAGGATGAGAGCAATACTTGTACGTAGCCTTACTCTTACATATTTGCAAAGATGTTGTTTCCCGGATTCAAACCTATGAACTTTCAGTCATAAAGGAATAGTTTTACCACTACTCTAGGCTCGCCCTCTTATAATATGTTGAAATATATAAAACCATTAATATAGTTTCACCCAATAGCTTAAGCTTTTGGGTTGAATTGGTTCTTTACATGGTATCAGAGCCTCGTGTCCCGGGTTCGATCCTCGCCGCCCCCCACTTTCTTTCAAGTGGAATTTCTTTGTTCGCACAAGTAGGTGGGCCTGTGCATTGTCCACCCTTCAAGCCCAGTGGGCTTTCGTGTGAGGGGGCGTGTTGAAATATATAAAACCATTGATATAGCCTCACTCAATAGCTTAAGCTTTTGGATTGAATTGGTTCTTTACATAATATTTAAAATTTATTTGAAAATAAATGTATTTATACTTATTGAAGGCAAGGTGTTACTGAGGTTTGAAATTGATTTAAACTATAAATATCATAGTAGTTAATTGCACCGCGATAGCGCAGCGAGCCGCGCCGTATGGGCGGTGCGGTGCCTCGCCGCAAGAAACCGCGTCGCGTCGCACCGGAACGCAATAACAGTCATTTTGATTGCATTTGTGGCCAAATCGCGACCATATTGTTGTCATAAGACAAAATGTCAATTTTGCCCTAAATTTAAATGTGTAAAAGGAAAATTTTAAGGATTTTTTAGTCTAACTGCATCTCGCTCTGTCACTTCTGCTATCTCTGCCTTTAAAAAATGTTTTTTTTTGTCATATATCTATTCTGTTATTTTCGCAACCGCAACCTGCTATAGCGCTGTAGCGTTTTTCGGGGTTGGCCGCGACATGCCACAATCCGCATTTGATAACTTTGACAAATATATAATAAATAAACCATTGGAGTGGGAGTGACCTTATTATTTGATCTGAATTGCTGTTAAACAATTGGTAGAAGCGCATTATAAATAGTTACATACAGATACCATCAAAGGGATGCACAAAAACAGGAGGATCTTGAATAGGCAGAATACCATGATTCGTGATTTCTGAACCAGATTGCACGATTTCAGCAATTTGTGCAATGATTCCGGCCACCATGTGATTTGTATCATTTGCATTACAAATAGCATCAAACCATACAATATGAATCGCAAATCACACAATTTCTACAACATTGATTTCACTTTAAATTTTGGGATTTAGAGACTTTTTCTTATTTTAAATAAGTTATTAAATTTTAGAAAAACTAATGTTGGATCATGATTTGACTAGGATTTTGATCAACTTTGGTTATAAATACCCCTTTAGGTGCCTTATTTTATTAACACTTCTGATATTTGATTAATTAAAGAAATTATTATCAATCTTTGTTCGAATCCCAAGGATTATTGCTTACTTTGGATTTGGTTCTACAACAATAATGAGTAAAGGAACTTGTTTCCAATGAGTAAAATAAAGTTTTTAACAATTAAGCCACGAACTATTTTCATTCCCATGCCATAAGAGTTTTTCCCCCTTTTCTATAATATGATGGTTGAACTTCAATTAGTGCACTCACCAGATGTATTATAGATTGTCAAACAATCAATTTGTAATATGCATAGAAGAGCTTCAGCTGTATGACCCAGACGACACCAACACACCTAAAATTTCAAAATAATTAGTTAAAGCAAAAAAATTCAGTAAATGGAACAAAAAGAAGCATCACATTTACTACAAGGAAGAAAAGAAGTCCAGTTTTTTAAACTTTTAGTCCTCTACTGCTGCACTTCCTGGTTGCATGGACAATATTGCAGCCATTAGCTCATTGGATAAATTTCAAATTCCTTGAAAACGCAAAGCCAGGTCAAGGAAGACTTTTTTTTTAATTAAAGAGAGAATTATCTTAAGGAAAGAAGATTAAGATGAAGGAAGACAAAATGACCTCCTTAAACACAGAAGAAAAAGGAAACAGAATAAGGCCAAAAACGGCTCAACACAAGTATGAATGCTGCCAAATAAATTCCGTAAAAGAAACCTTATCCTGAAAACCAAAGAGATACCATAAAAACTGTTTAATGTTTTATCCTGAAAAAATATAAGCCCGAATATTTCCTTAAAAATCCAAACATTCCACTAAAATGATAGGATTCAAAGGACAGCATAAATTGCGTACTGTCACAAAGATCTTCCTTACTTTGCGTACTGTCACAAAGATCTTCCTTACTCCTGCCAAAATCTCAAAAGCCAATAAAAAGGAAATGCTCCAAAGCTCTTAGGGTACACCCAAGATTCACCGAACCAACCACACCAAAAAGTCTATTCCAAATGTAGCTAGTTGCCACACAATGCAATAATAAATGTGGAGCAGAGCTATTTCTGAATAAGAGCAACACAATGCATCCATCAAGAAAAGCTTTGTTAGGTCTGCAAACTGGTAACGTCAAGAAGATTTTCGAACCAAAGGAAATTGTGCTTAATAATTATTAGGATACTGATCCAACAAATAGTAGTTAAGAGTTAGGATTTAATGCCCAGGAAAGCTTTTGTATTTCTCAGTTTGTTGAATTGGTCATAAATCACAGTCCACTTAATTATGACGCAGACATCCCAATGTAGCTGATATTAGTGAGTTCACCCTTTTCCTATATAATATTTCAATGCATTTGCAGAATTGATTGTTGAGTGTTAAACTTTAGAAAAAGTAGATCAAATTTCAAAGTGTCGGATTTTGAAGACTTCTGAGGCCAGTTTCCTTCTTCTTGTTAAATTTCATACAGCAATATATAGAGCCATATAGCATCTTGCGACACTATATAGAGCAATATAGCATCTTGATTTCTTACAGTCCTAAACTATACTCATCCTCTGATCCACTGAAAATAAATTCCTTTTTTATTGAAAATTGCTTATAGAACTCTAATCTTTGCCATCCAAATTTCCTGAATTCACCATTTCAGCAGAGAAATTCCAGCTTCCACTTACTTGAAGATTGTTCACACGTTCATCTTCTAAAATTCTATTTTCTTATCTGCTGCTATACTCACTAGATCCCATCCAATTTATATGAGAACTCGAACTGTACATTTGAATAACATGTTCTCTAAACACTGGCTTCAAATTATGTTTATCCTTGAAAGGAAAGAAAAAAAAATGCACTTTGAAACAGAACAGAAGCAATGAAGCTAAAGCTTAATTCCATTTAACACATCTATCAAACCAAATGTGTGTTAATAAATTTCATAAAGAAAAAATAGACAGCATTTTCTCTAAATACTAAAACCAGTAGCTTTGGCTTCCCGCTTAAAATAAAAATAGCAAATAAAAATAAAAAACTCTAGACAGCAAATAATATTGCAGGAAGCAATTCAAAGCGTGAAAGATCAAAATTCAAACCTTAACGATCGGGGATCGCAAGGTAAACCTCTTAAAGACTCTTGCACCTGTCGACCATATAATCCTGTTACAAATCATTACGCAGTGCACCAAATGCGTGAGTCTGTATGAAGTAATAATCATGCGCAGCACTTTTATCGCCGCTAAAGCAACTAAGCAGAGAGACGAGGGTTTTGGAGAGGAAATAAAGTACCTATTCCCTCGTATGAAAAGCTCGTGATCGCCGCGATTGTTCAATGCAGAAGCAATATCGTGGCAATTATCTTCGGCGTCTCTATCTCGAGCGATTTCTGGATCGAAGAGGAAGTAATCGTACTTGTCAGTGACGGTGTCAGGGGGGTTACCGTCGAGAGCTTCGGCAATGAGGCCAAATGGCTTGAACTCGCCCAGCACTGTTAAGCGACGGACGCCTATGGACATCTTTGCAAGCTAACACAGATCGCTTGAGTCCAGTGATGAAGAAAGTGAGTGAAAATGAAGTGTGTGCGGAGCAGAACTGAATTTTCGCCCTTCACCTCCCGCTCTTTATTTTTGGTTGATTTTGAGTTTGGAACGCAAACCGGTGGGTTGGGTTTAGCGGCTTTGAACTTTAACCCTACACTTTTGGGGTAAGGAGTGTTCAAGGGCACGATTAATCTTGGCCCAAAACAGGCCTGTTTGAAATTTATTAAAAAGGTCAAAAAAAATACGTTTGATAAGTCTTATTTTAGAATCAAATTTAGAGAATATATTTGACTTATTTTTATTTTATATTTTGAATTTTTATTTTTAAAATAAAAATATATAAAAAAAAATTGTTTCGTTAACTATTTTAAAAAGAAAAAAAAAACAATATCAAACAAAAATGTGCGGATTGTGACCATTTTTCTATTAAGTCTTCGGACATTAAAAACTTTGATTAGATATATCAGTAATGATATTGAGTAAAATAAAATAAGACGGGATGAAATATAATTATTATATTATTTATTTAAATATTTATGATGTAATGAAAACAAAATTTTATTTCATTATTCGATAAATAAATAAAGTGGAAGAGATGTTAATAAATAACAAGAGAAATGGTAAAGGTGGGGCTGAACCTTTAGCCATCACTGTTCCCCCGCACTCCGGATTAGTCCTATAGCCGGCTCAAAGAGTCGAAGCTCGTGGGGATACCGGAGGGAGCCAACTCGTCTCAAAGAGATAATTAGGGTTGGGTAACTCCAAAAAAAAAAAAATGGTAAAGGTCTCTTCTTTCTCACAAATTGATCCCTTTTTTTTTTTTTTTTGGTACCCTAATTGATCCCTTTTAATTATAACTAACTTCACAGTTGAATTGTTTAGAGCTAGACCTAGAGTCAATAACTGTAGGGCTTGTTTGAAATATAATTTGAAGAATAGTTTTTTTAATTTTTAGAATAAAATAAAATAAATTTGATAAGGCCTGTTAATGTTTTGTGTTTTGACATTTAATTTTCAAAAAAAAAAAAAACACACTTATTTCATTAACTAGTTTACAAAATATTTTAAAAATAAAAAAATCAGAATACAATTAAACAGTCTTGTAGTCTTCCAAATTCTTTTTTCCCAAATAATAAAAACACCAATGTAAAAGAACCAGGAAAAAAACATGACATAATTTACCTGAACTGATAGAAATAAACAAACGAGAGAGACAGAGTCCCACAGGGAACAACTTTTCAATCTATTTAATTCACTCACAGCAAGTATTACAAAATTCCTATTGTTTTTTAACACTCAATTTAAATTATAATATGAAAAAATACAACAAATAAAAAATATATAAATACCAATAAATGATATGCTTTTTAAAATTTTAGTCATTGTAATAATGATAAAAAAAATTAATTTTAAAATACGAGTATCTTAATTATATATATATCATTCTTAAATTCAAATAATTTTATATGAACTTGAGAAAATATGTTACTTAGAGTCCGTTTGGATGGGCTTTTGAAAAAAAAGACTTTTTATGATTTGCTTTTTTTAAAAGAACTTCTTTTAAAAGTTAAATTTATTTTGTGTTTGGATGCAATATTAAAAAGTACTTAAGGGTGTGTTTGGTACAAGAGAAATTTTTTGGTGACCGGGAATCATGATTAATGGGAATTCAGTAGAAATTGAGTTTACTTGAAATCTTACGAAAAAGGTGTTTGGTTCGCCAAAATATTACCGGGAATATTGGGTAAAAATTACTGATTCCATATTTGGTTTAGAACGAAATATGAGTTGGAATATGAGGTTATTTTACAAAAATAACCTCAAACTATTTTTACTTTTGTAATTGATAGATTGAGTCTATATTTTTATGTGTATTGGGTATTTTTGTCTCAAAATTTATTATTGTGCTTTCCCTTTACTTGGTATTCTGATTGGTATTCCGAATTACCATATTATTTTTGGTAATCTGAATAGTGACTTTTCTTTATAAATCAAATTACCGGTAATCTTTGGATATCCGGGAATCGTAATTTATTTCTTCTACCAAACGTGGTAATTACATTTACCAAAGAAGGATTACCGGTAATCCTCTTCAAAAACCTTAAACAAACACCCCCCTTAAGTAAAAATATCATTTGGATGTTAAAATTAAAAATGACTTTTTAAATATAAAACCAATTGGATTCAGCTTCCCTTCAACTAGGCAAAAAAATTGGTGCGAAACTGAAACGAAAACTAAAACTTTGATTCTTCAAGATTGAATGTTTTCAGAGAGGAAGTGTGGAACAGGCAGGCGACGATGAGTGGCGGCATAGGTTATTACGTGATGGTTGAATTAAAAACAAAAATCAATAGCATAAAAGGTACAAAATAGAAGATATCATAAACAACTTTCTTGGTAAAATTCAAATGCACCGTTACTTTCTTTTGTAATCGTCAGTCACAGTGAAACAAGCAAACCAATGGGAACTGTTCATAGCCAAACCTGAAACTAATCTTCTGGAAAGTGGCTTCACTATGGGGATAGGGTGCCGTTGAGGTCGCCATCTCCGCCAAACAATGTGGATGTTAGTATTGAGAAGTCGGATAGGGTTGCTCAAAGAATGATGGTGAATATGGGTTCGAAGGAAGGGCAAGGGATTTGAAACAAGAAGATGTAAAATTGCTTTTGGCTTCTACTTCTTTCAAAAGCTAAAGTTTTTAGCTTCTCAAAAAAGGAGAAATTTAACTTTTTATGAGCTTTTGCTTTTTTTAAAAGCTTCCATCCAAACATCACATAAATTCCAGAAGCACTTTTTTTTAAAAGAAAAAGCAGCTTTTCACCTAAAAAAAGCCCATCCAAACATCACCTTAATCGTGTTGACAGTGAGTCAAAAGAAATTGGGGTTCATTCCAAATTCCAATGCTACAATCTTAATATATTATGTTGATGGTTCATTCCAAATTCCAATGCTACAATCTTAATATATTATGTTGATGGTTCATTCGTATAATTTTACTTAATTCATTACTAATTAAACTGAGACTCTAACATATATGAGCATCCAAACAATAGATTCATGAAGTAGGTTATCTTTTAATGAAAGCCTCTCAAAACAAAAGTACTTAATTATCAGGTGGTTCGTGGAAGTCTGCAACGATGTTTGCCAACAATGAGTCAAGCGGCAATCCACAACAAGTGAAATTTACGTCACATCTCAACCCCAATGCCTAAAAGCATTTTTTTTTTGGACAACAGTAGCAAAATAGCCACTAACCAACTAATCTAGGTGAACCAACACCCGTAATATCCTTATACAAAAGACTACTACATCCCACACGAAGGGATAAAAAGATATGAATCTCTCTATCTGTAACAACAACATTGTGAGCCATCCAATCCGCTACCTCGTTTCCTTCCCTAGTTGTATGATTTAACTTGATCTGCCAACTCCTCTCTAGCAGGTTTCTAATAGACTGTCCAATATGGGCTAGGGGGTAGTTGTTGAATTCCCCCTGTTCTATAAACCTGATGACATGGGAATAGTCCCCTGTTCTATAAACCTAAAAGCATTAGGTTCATATGGCATTCCACTTGTAAGTTTCACTTAGCATATTGACAAGTAATGTGACGCTTCATGATACTTGAGTGCCGCAACAGTTTTCTTTTAAAGTGTCAAACCCTACACATTAATATGTTCCCCTTTGACGGAAATCGCCTTTAACTAAATATATAGTTAGCCTAATTCAAACACATCTTTGATATCATTGTTATCCAACTTTGATACAATTATACAACCATCATGCAGCTAGAGGGGCCATGGCAAGGCAAGACTTTAATAATGACCTAAGTCACAAATTATCACAATAAGTAGGCTCAACACCTTATGTGAATCATAAATTTTAAGACGTTAGGTTTGAATCATTTCACTTGTATGTTTTGTACTCATTTCATTCTTACTTGATGGGGGATAATAATATTCCTTCACACATAAACTTGTTCGAGTATTTATGGAATTACACTAATAATCTGATGGAATCTCGATCCCCTTAATTCGGTGCGGAAGCGTTTAAGTCGAACATCGAACTCGGAGCTCGGACCTCGGCACATAGAGTTAGAGGTCGGTTTGAGTCACCAGGTCGACCAATGCAGCATAAAACAAAAATTGTAAAGGGTAAAGACAAAGAAAAACACAGTCGATATGTAACATGGAAAACTTTCTCTAATGTGAAGAAGTAAAAACCACAGATACTGGTCCAAAATCAAACTTTCACTATGAAAATAATGGGTTACAAATGATCGAACTTCACCAACAAATGGTGGTTCACTCAAACTTTTATGATGAGGTCTAACACTCAAACTTATTCTTAGAGGTGCTCACAAATTCCAAGCTCTATGTAATATCCCAAAAAAAAAGAATTGTAATTTATGATAACAGTAGTAATAATAATATATATATATATATATATATATATATATATATATATTAGGATTAGATGATAAATTATGATTGTTGGAATTATTAATTGATTGGTCATTTGTGCATTAATGTTATTATTTGATTGGTAATGTGATTTGATTAGATATGTTGAGTCAGTGATATTATGAGCCATAAGAAAATTAAGAAAAATAAATAACTGTACGAAACTCATATCTGAGCCCATAACTCTAACTATAGATAGAGGTTTAGCCTAACCAAATCAAATCACTTATAATCCTTAGTATTTATCTTGATTTCCTCTGCTACTCCATCTTCTCACTTCAAAATTTAATTTAATTTTTACTATTATTTTCCTTTGGTTATCAATCGCTTCTCAACTCAAATCATTATTTTCCTTTGGTTACCAACCGTTTTGCAACTCAAAATCACTCTTCCTTATAGGGTTAGCAAATATGGAGATCAGGTAATCTTAATCCTTATGTTCTCTTAGGTTATTTTATATATATGAAATTTGGTATATGTAACCTTAGTCCATAAGAAATGTGTTAATTATTTGAATATTATTGAAAAATTCGTT